GCTTCCAAATAGTTCCTCCAAGAGTATGACCTATAAAAATGAAGGAAAGTAGTAAATTTAATTTTTCCTTTATAAGTATTATAGACTACCGGCAGATCATATATATACTAAATTTAATAAACGGTATTCAAAAATATGCTTGTTAGAATGACCAACAAACTCGAATAATTGATTAAGAGTTAAAAACCCTGAATGGTAATGATACGGAACTAAATTAAAATATAGATGTTGGCTGTAATTAAATTGGCAAACAATACGATAAATACAGTTAGTAAACAGATGACTTGATAATATCTCAGGACAATTCTACTATTAATTATCCAAATGGAGATAATATTTACCAAGTTTAATTCAAATCTAGGCTCTTGTATCTGGCCCCCTAAGCTTGATACAACTTATTGATGGATGATAAAAAGATTTAGTGAATTCGCCTAATAATTTTTTCAGATAGGGGAAATATAGATCGCTGTGCGAAGTAAATACACTGTAATCAGAAGATAAATTTATAATAGAAAAAAAATGTAGAATAAATATAAGGTTTATTTCAACGAACAGGAGACGGTTATCCACTTCAAATTCTAATAAAATAAGGCAAATATAGAGTAACTAAGGCATGCAAACTACACATTTGAGCGCATAAGGTTCTGGCAAAAATACTCTTAGCAACAAGATGGGAGTGATCCCCAATAAAAATATATTAATCATGTGTATAAACTACACTAGATAATAGAGCACAATCAAGTTTACTTTGATCAAATGATGGTGGGAGTATATTAGTATAATGACTTCTTAATGACTCGAAAGTTGTATTAAGATTTCAGGATAAATTGAGAAACACTTGCGTGTGGAATGCAGATCTTTAATAGTCTACATCAACCTGCTTGAGCGCGAAAATCTATTGCAGCAGATATGAAAGAAATTAACAAACATTTAAAAGTCATTGAAAAAATATGGGAGTTATTATACAAAAGTGTGATACAAAACTATACATAGACAATATATCAGCATTAAAAAAATAAAAAGCCTACTAAAAATTTACTACTTTTTATGCTAGAAAAAATTAACACAAGGTCAACATTGGCAGTGCTACGTATAGGGATAATCGATTGCAATCATCACATTGTATACATAACTGTAGCTAAATAATTAAAGCAATCTAACGCTGTGATAGGATAGGATAGTAAGCAGAATATCTCACCTGATGGAAGGGGTGTAACAGCTAGACCATGTCCGCGTCCATGGAGGCTGATAGTTTGTTGATACTTAACTTGAACAATAAGGTCAAATGCATTATCAATATCATCCAGGGTAAATGCGTCGAACTTTTCGGCAGCATACCTTGATTGATAAGCATCGTACAGAAACATTTGGCCCATTTTGTAAACAGGAGTAGTAGCATAGACAGGACATTTCAATCCACATTTACCAACCAGGTAAGGTAAAAGACCTAAATGTCTTAGGCTTTGATGGCTTAAAAGTACGGCATCTATGTGGTCGACCCATTTAGATACTTCTTTTACGTAAGGACTTTCAAAGTCCTCACAGAATCCACAGTCAAGAAGACAATAGAATTCATCGACTTGAAGTAAATAACAGGGTGGACCTCCATCGCAGGAACCAGAAAAAGCCCGCAACTTTATTATAGAAGTTGCCATCTACGTCAAAATATGGGCAGCGATTTCAATGAGACTACGACGGTAAAGCGCATAACTTCAGACTTAGCTGGCCTCAAAGCATTCACAAAAACAACTCAGTCACAATTTCATTTTAATTTGATTTACATCATAAACAATTTATTATTTGTCAGTAAATTTTGCTTTATTATTTAGTTTACCTTTGTGGAGCTATATATATTGAACAGCAACAATGATATCTTAATTACTACTACTTAGATTTAAGGATATTAAACATAAAAGAGTAAAACAAAAAGTTACTGTGAAAGGTGTAATAAGAACGTTTATCAAAGTTAATGGTTTAGAAGATAATCAATTATATTTAAAAGTGTTTACTTCAAAGGTGCAGTTCTGCTAACTTTAATTTTGTTCTTTATATTGCTATAGTACTCATAATACATCAGGAAATGAGTAAAATAAAGTCAGGAAAACTGATGTTGTAATTGAAACATAGCAATGGGAACCTAGTAACTAAGCTTTATTCGAGTTTATAAGAGAACTTACTTAGTTTTTGCAACTTAACCTTGTTGTCAGGGCGACTTAGTAGGGCGCACCTTGCCCGAAGTCGTTGGCAATAGAACTATTATTCTCAGATTTGGACTGTGGAATTGTTACATTCTCAGTCGATGAGTTTTGCCATTCTCAGCACCAATTTATAACTCGTCATAGAGACAGTTGAAATCATCCCCTTGACCAATTTTTCACAAAAACGGATGTGTTAGCACTCCTCTGTCTGTCATGGCCAACCTATCTACTCCTTATCCTCTTGCCTCACTCCCGTCCCATAATAATTCCTGACTTATTTATATTCACCATCCAGGGTTGTGCCATTCCATGGCGAGTTTAGAGTGGCGTCATCGCACCTGCTGTTTGCGAAGACGATCTCACTGATTGAAGTCTGCTTGAAGAAACAACTACAAATGTGGGTGCCTAAAGGTCACATGCCCAGGAAGTCGGATAATCACAACCGTCACAAAAATTCGGTATCTTAGCTAAATTAATTTTTAATCAAGTCGATAGGTATCAGATGACCAGAGAATGAATTCATAGTTTGCTTAGGGTACAAAAGTTGAATCAAGGAGATTACCAGTTAAGGCAATTACTACTATCTGCAATCATGAGAATTGGTCAAAGGATCGGCTTCACTTACCTTTTTACTAGTTGTGTCGTGG